TTTTTTTTTTTTTTTTAAGACAGACGCTCACTTTGTTGTCCTCAGTAGAGGGCCATGGTGTCACAGCTCATAGTAACCTTAAACTCTTGGACTCAAGTGATTCTCTTGTCTCAGCCTCCCAAGTACTGGGACTTACAAATGTCTGCCACAACATCTGACTATTTTTATTTATTATTATTATTATTTGAGACAGAGTCTCAAGCTGTTGCTCTAGGTAGAGTGCTGTGGCATCCCAGCTCACAGCAATCTCAAACTCTTGGGCTGAAGCGATTCTCTTGCCTCAGCCTCTCAAGTAGTTGGGACTACAGGTGCCCGCCACAACGCCTGGCCATTTTTTGGTTGCAGTTGTCATTGTTGCTTAGCAGCCCCAGGCTGGGTTTGAACCTGCCACCCTAAGTGTATGTGGCCAGCAACCTGCCAACAGCCACAGATGCTGCCCACCTGACTATTTTTAGAAATGAGGTCTTGCTCAGGCTGGTGTTGAAATCCTGAGCTCAAGCCTTCTTCAGCCTCTAGAGTGCTGGGATTATAGATGTGACCTACCACACCCATGTGGCTGTTTCTTTATGTTCTAATCTGAATCCCAGATACCTGGTTCTAGTGCTTATTCTGATATTTTTAGCTCTTTGATTTATAGCCAGTTTCTCAGAGTTTCTGTGACATAGTCTCATGTTGCAGATCATGGATGGCTATGTTGTTATTTTATTAGTACATATAAAACATTTAAAATTGTGTTTCACACATGGAAAATGTTAGTCATTACCATTGCTATTATAATTTTTAGATTCTGACTTTTCTGTCTTTAAAGCCATTGTAGCTTTTGGCTTGGTGCCTGGAGCACAGTGGTTGTGGTGACAGCCACATGCACTGAGTCTGGCAGGTTCGAACCTGTCCAGAGCCAACTAAACAATAATGACAACTGCAACCAAAAAAATATCTGGGCGTTGTGGTGGGTGCCTGTAGTCACAGCTATTTGGGGGGCTGAGGCAAGAGAATCACTTCAGCCTAAGAGTTTGAGGTTGCTGTGAGCTGTAATGTCATGGCAGTCTACCAAGGGTGAAATAGTGAGACTCTGTCTCAAAAAATATATAAAAAAGCCACTGTAGCTTTTGTCATATCTCTGAAGATACCACTTATATTCTAGCTTATCCAGATACTGAGTATCATGTGGTATGGTATGTCTAACATATTACCTTATATATTTTTTTTGGCCAGGGCTGGGTTTGAACCCACCACCTCTGGCATATGGGGCCGGCGCCCTACCCCTTTGAGCCACAGGTGCCACCCTACCTTATATTTTTGTGAAGATGATTTATGTTTACTTTGGTTTTGTTTTTTGGTTTTTTTTTTGAGACAGAGTCTCACTATGTTGTCCTCAGTAAAGGGTGGTGGCATCACAGCTTTAACAGTGACATTGGAAAAGACAGAGCTGCCTCTATGTTGTCCTCAGTAGAGGGTGGTGGCATCATAGCAACCTCAAACTCGGGCTTAAGAGGTTCTCTTACCTCAGCCTCCCAAGTAGCTGGGACTACAGGAACCCACCACAACACCCAGATATTTTTTGGTTGCAGTTGTTGTTTAGCTGGCCTGGGCCAGGTTTGAACCTGCCAGCTTCTGTGTATGTGGCAGGTGCCCTAGCTGCTGAGCTATAGCACCACCCGTATTTTTATATTTCTTATATTATCCACAAAACTGAGAAATTTATGCTGATTTTGAGGCTGTCATAATCTCTATTGCAGTGGTTCTCAACCCATTGGTCGTGACCCACAGGAACTGTATTAATGGGCTGTGGCATTAGGAAGATTGAGAACCACTGCTCTATTGGAAAACTATAGTAAAACACAATTACAGAGGACACTTGTTCAAAAATTACCTTGATGTGAATTTGTCCGAACACTCCGATTTAATGAATACTTAATTTCACTGCTCTCCTCATTGTGTGTGAACATGATGCCTTTGTGAAATATGTTTGTCATTTTAGGGACACTTGACATTCAGGGATGTGGCCATAGAGTTCTCTCAGGAGGAGTGGGAATGTCTGGACCCTGCTCAGAGGGCTTTGTACAGGGCCGTGATGTTGGAGAACTATAGGAACCTGATCTCTTTGGGTGAGGATAACTTCCCTGTAGAAGTCAGGATCTGCTTTTGTGTGTCTGTATTTAATCTCTTGTGTGGCTCTTGGGAGCCCTTGACTGAGATTGAAGACTTGTTGACTCAGAAATGAAAAGTTCCATAATTCAGCATCTGGACTTCAAGCATCCCTCTTCTTCAGATGTTTGTTCCCTCCATGAAGCAGCCAATTCTCTATTTTCTACCCCTATGCTTTGGATTCATGGGACAATACAAAATATCTGTATTTTACAGTATTCGCTAAGCTTTCTGTGGATAAATTTGTGGAATGATTTCTTAGGTGCATCTGTAATGTTCTCTCTTCTGACATAAATATAAGGCTGACATTCTAGAAAACCCATAAAATGCATGTTCCTTACATTTTATAAGTGAGATGCTGTCTTTCTGGCCTAAATATTATCTCCATGTTGAAAACAGGAGAAAAGCCCTGGACTGTGGAGAGCCAAGTGAAAATAGCAAGAAAACAACAGCGGTGGGAACGTGTCAAAGGTGTGATCTCAGGTAAGAGCGCAGAGGGCATACTGGAAACTGCAACATTAAACATTGGGAACCTCTCAGCAAGTTGAAAGGATAATGTGGGAAAACAAAAGTTTATATATAGTGAGGTGTCAAAGGAAATTTTATATTTTCCCCAGTTATCATGCTACTCCTCAGATATGTGCAAATTATTCCTTCACCCTCCACTGGGGCTGCAGCTCCAACAGAAAGAAACAGAAAGTCCTCATCATGTGGTTCCTATGAACTCTCCGACTCCTTCTCTCTGAGGGTCCAGGGAGGGCCACTTTACAGAGGGCTCCTTCTCCCTTAGGTCTCTTCTGTACTCAATTCCATTTGATGCTCAATTCACTTTCCATGTAGATGAGTGTGGAGGCTTCCATAATCCTGAGGCCTGGAGCTTTCCATGTTCTATCCCATTCATGCACTTGTAAGACCAAGGCAGGAGATGGGGCACATTGGCTGTTCCTTCTTTGCATATGGGAATCTGGAAACTACACAGAGCCGTCTCTAGCTCTCTCTGCCGGTCAAGTTCCTCAGTCATTTTTTCTGTTTTTCCTCAGTTCATGGGTTTGTGGAACTAGAGAATGGGTTTGATCTTCTGCTATTGTGATTTAGTAGACCTGTAAATACAGTTGACTAGTCCCTCCTGATCTCTAGCTATGCATGGGGAGCATATCTCATTCTTTCATGCTCTTAGCTTCAAGTATGTGGGCAGCACAGAGTCTCCTCTTGAGATCCCTCAAAATCTGACCTTCGTATATTGTATTTTCCTCTCTCTTCCACTGCTCTTTCTATTGGGATGCAGAAAAACCTTGATTTTGTATTCTCAAGTTTGTGTGATTTTGCTTGTGATATACACAGTGTTAAGTCATGTTGTTTTTTTCCCACTGTGATAACCTTCTTATAGGTTATGAATGTTTTTATGGACTTTCCTAGGGGATGAGTTTATTGGACAACAGAAAATTCATGAAGGAGGTTGGGCATGGTGGCTCAATACTATACTATAATCTCAATACTCTTGGAGGCCTAGGCAGGTGGATTCCAAGGTGGGTGGATCCCTTGAGTTCAGGAGTTTGAGACCAGCCTTAGCTGAGCAAGAGTGAGACCCTGTCTCTAAAAATTGCCAGGTGTTGTAGTTGGCACCCGGTAGTCCTAGCTACTTGGAGGGCTGAGGTAAGAGAATCTCAGGAGCCCAGGAGTTTGAGGTTGCTATAAGCTATGATGCCATGGCATTCTACCAAGGGCAATAGAGTGAAACTCTGTCTCAAAACATTTATGAAGGAGAACAGTTTGACTAATAATTTTGAATGTTAACCTGTTATATAAAGAGATGCCCCTGGAATTATCAGCATGGCATAGGACACCCAGATAGAACATACCAAGACTAGCACTCTGGGAGGCCAAGGTGGGTGGATAGCTGGAGCCCATGAGGTCGAGACCAGCCTGAGCAAAAAGCAAGACGCTGTCTCTACTAAAAATAGAAAAATTGAGGCAAGAGGATCAATTGGAGGTGGCCACTGCACTCTACCCAGGGAACAGCTTGAGACTCTGTCTCAAAAAAAAAAAAAAAAATACCAGGAGAGCTTGATTGATAAATGTTTCCAGTTATCATTCTGTTACATTACAAAAGTGTCTCTGGAAGGACACTATAACAGTGTGGATCACATGTACTCATGATCATCTACTCTGAGCCAACAATCAATGGTATAGAAGTTCTTCTTAGAACGTTTTTTGGCTCGGTGCCCGTGGCTCAAGCGGCTAAGGCGTCAGCCACGTACACCTAAGGTGGCGGGTTCGAATCCAGCCCGGGCCCACCAAACAACAATGACGGCTGCAACCAAAAATAGCTAGGTATTGTGGTGGGTGCCTGTGGTCCCAGCTACTTGGGAGGCTGAGGCA